AATGTGCTAGCATAATCCTTAAAAACACTGTGATGCAAGAAATACCATTTTTCCAACAATTTGTTCATCACACACGCAGTGTTTATAACTGCACTTGGGAGTACAGCTCAAAGTCTTCCCAGTGGTGTGCTCTCACCAGTACAAACCCACTCAGCCCAGTTTCCTTCCAGCCAGGCTGATCACTGTTACCCTCCCCTACAACAAACACAAGCATTCTGTACATTTAGCCACAAGCTTAGCCAGCCTCTCTCTTCCCTTTGCTCCGTAAGCAAAGCTCACCCAAAGCACAGCTGATGTGCTGATGTGCTCCTATCAATGGCACATTGGTGGTGCTGAGGTTGCAGCTGTGAAGAAATGGGATTCACAGACATCATCAAGGCAGAACCGTTTGGGTGCCATGGCGCTACAGCCAGAAAGACCAATGCAGCAGACGAGCAATGCAGGAATATAACAGCAAAGGGACTGGTGCAAATGGAACAAAGGAAAAGCACTCACCTGAAGGCGGACTCTGAAGATCTACCCTCACAGGGAAAACTGCCCAGTGGAGGGATCTCCAAGCACAAAACCTTCCCCAGTGGCAGTCAGCCCTTCAATGCTCTAAGAGAGGCGCAGCCAGGCTCCACCCCTCCTATCACACAGCTGAATTGCCCTCACCTGTGCTCCCAGGGCTGATCCTTGCCCAGGTGCTCAATCAGTGCTTCAGGCCGTGACTCAACAGTTCCCGCACACACGGTAATAATGGAATTACATCACCAGCTGCGTCAGTCTTTAAGTCACACGCCCTACCAAAGTTGGGTAAAGCCAGAAGCATGCCTCCTTTTCTCTTTCCTCAAGCATCCCTGTGCACACAGCATAGCAGCCCCATGGCCAATGAAACGTTTTCCTAAGATCTGCAAGTCACTGCAGTGCCTCAGCTCGAGCCTTAATTTTAAGATCAGACCCATTAAATAGAGTGGGGAGAGGCAACGGTAAAGATGGTGAATAAAAAAGAACCTTGCTCCATAACTCATCTTGAGCACTCCCTACCACGGGCTTTACACAGTGTGTCACACCAGGACCTCCTTTCAGTTCCAGAAAATGAACCCTCTATTTACAGTGATGTTTTTAATACTGTACTAATTACCACAGGTATAATTTTTAAGACTTCATCTCGAAATCAGAAGCTAATACAGTTGCACTTGGATTTGTCAGCTGTGCAATAGCTTGCCCTAATTTTAGATTAACAGCTCTGGAGACCTGCTCAGAAGAGTGAGACTGACAGACTTTTTAATGGAGAAAATCTGAGCTCCCCTGGGATCCATACTTTCTCAGACATAGTCAGAAATCCCAGCGGCGCTCGCTGAAAGGATCCCAGGATGGAAAATGACATCTCCCTCAGCATTAGTGCTTTGCATTCTGATGTCGGTCCTCCAAATACTCTCTCCCTTTACATTCTTGCCACTTCTTTGGGATTTTTAGCAGCAGCAGAGCAGAAAGCGTACCTTGAATGCTCTAACCCAGCGCCATGTGCCAAACTGGAATGAAGGAACTTGAATCCTTATAAATAGACAAATTATCCACCCAAAACACGTCATTTAAAATTGAGATGCTGACACAGCCTTAGCTACAGTACCGCTAAGCAGGGCTGTATCATTTTTCAATTAAATATCCTTGTTTCTTCTTCCAGAGAAACCTCTGGAGAAATGTCTCATTTGAGGGCAGACAGAGACAGAAAGTGACTCTGTCTGTCGGCTCCCAATTAAAGGCCAGGGAAGATGGATAGGAGGCACAGCCACCACCTAATAGAGATCAGATATCAACAATGATTTATGCAGTCAGATAGATACATATTCAAGTGAGGAAGAAAGAATGCTAACAGCCAGGGAGACATCACTTTCCTCCTCTGTCACCACCTGCCATCCATCTGCTCCTCTCTTCCCAGGTCCTGCTCCATCCTGGATGCCCCTGCTTTGCCGAGGGCCATCTTTGAGTCAATTCTGCCAGTCCCTTTCCTCCATCACACACCCCCCATCCAAAGGCATGGGCCTTCCTGCATTCCAGAACTTGCTGTTTCTAGCTTCTGCACACCCCATTTCTATATGCACACACTCGCTCCTACACGCTGCATTACCTCTGCTCTCATGGATCTCTGACTGCCCAGGCACACTGAGGGATCAGTGTGGGTTTGCCCTCAAAAATCTGAAAGGATGAAAAGGATTTCCTCTCCATAATTCCAAACAGCATGTACCAAGTTCACCTGCAGCAACACATCCGATACTGAAGTCTGCAAGATCTGGTCCTAAAGCAAAGCAGCTCCTTCATCTCAGGACAGATGTTTCTCGCAGGGGCAAGTGACCCCCACAACCCTTAGAATACCAAGGCAGAGCAACTTGACAATCTGCTATGAGAACAGCTCCATAGTTGGAGGCTGATACCCTCACAATGACGTAAGGCTTTTGGGTCGAGGTTCTTAGAAGGTCTCAGCCCCTGTGCCGGTTGATGAGAGCTGAGGATGCTGAGCGCTCTTTGAGAAATGATCAGCTCCTGGCACAGAGGCTGGGCACCCTCGCTTCTCCCCATGCACTGTGCTCATGGGAATTTTTGGTCCTAAAAATGCTATTTTATTTAAAGCAGCGACTCAAAATCTTCCGGTTCCTATTGAAAGAGATCTAAAAGATCCTGCCTGTCTGGAGAAAAGAAGTTTCTACTTGTCAGTTAAACAAAGGAATAACGCACAGCCTCCTTTACAGTGTGTACTTTACCTGTCATCCAACAGCCCATTATCATGTCACGGCAGAGTGCACTTTTCTACAGGTCACTTTGTTTAAAATGACATGGATAATGCACATGTCAGCGAGCTGACAGTCCCGACCGTCCTTCAGAGATAAAAACCACAAGACGAGCGCCTGTTCTTATCTGGGGTACATGCCTTGGTCTATCATCTAAGTCAGGCAGAACATGATTTCTCCAGAGAGCACTTTTTTCATTTCCTGATTTTAAGAAAATCAAATAAGCACCATTTGTCTTCATCTGAATATGCTTGACCTGCTCAAATGATGATGTCTCGCATTTTATAACAGGCTGCATATGCTGAATTCAAATTAACAGCAGCACAAGGCCTGAGATCTCTGCCTGCGCTGCAGCGCACGATGAATGTGCACGTCAGGGTAAGCAGGCATCTTCCAGAACTGGGCTTGAGCCCAACCCAACGCCGGGTCTGCTTGTGGGGTTTGAAAAGCACTACGTTACCAGGGATGCTCAGATCAGTGCTTAGCCTCATTTCATTAGGAGGGAAGAGAAAATATAGATTGCAGAGATGAAGTGGGATGTCCAGGGTGAAGCATGGTCTGCAGTCTCCTGCACTGCGTGGCAGACACAGCCCTCACCCACATGCCGCCACCACGCCAAAGCCACCCGTTGCCTTTTACATAGGAGGGCTGTGAGGGAGAAATATGGGGGGGTTGGCAGAGGTTGGCTCTGAAGGCAGCAGGAAATTACACTTGTAGTTCTGGGTGCCATAAACATGGAAGCTGAGATTCAGTTTATCATCTCGTACTGCGTAAGGAACATCCTGAAAATGAATAATCACTTCACAGGATGGAACGTAATGGCAACGCATTAAAAATTCATATCTAAAAGTGCAGGTTAATATTCTGTGCAAAAACCCAACAAAACCTCCCCTTTCTGTTGTCACACTGATTAACTCCAGTGATTAGTTCCCTTATGAAAGGGAAATCACTGCAGTTCAAAGTAAACAGTGGTTCTTTAACGCAGTTAGCAAATTATTAAGAAACATGAGGAAAAAAATCCCTACTTGGGAAATTACTGAAAGCTGAACGGCAAAGCTTTGGCAATTGTATACAGGATACTTCGAAAATTTCCTGGGCTTACTGCTACATAAATCCTGTACAGAACTGATTAAATTCAGGAAATCTGACTTCTGCATTCACTGTTTCCTTTGGACATTACACCATATTTATTCCTTTCTGCCATGTTAGCTGCACACCAGCATGGTCATCTCTCGTCTTTCTTCTCTGCTTGACTTGAAGCCAAACAGAGCCACTCATGAAACTCCAAGCAATTCAATTATATTACATGAAAGATATTTTATAACATTACTCTCCCCAACTTCCATCCCCCACTTTACCCTGTGAAAGAGGAGGAACAAGTGGTGACATTATCAAAACATTCCTTAGGGTCAAACATACTTATGAAAATCACAAAATCCAACCTGGAAATCAAGAAATTAGACCAGTTTTCCTGCAGTTATTATTTCATTTTTAACAAAGGAGAAAGGTAGACGTTAGTTTACAGCACAAAAATCTGCTTACAGCATATAAAATAAGACTAAAAAAATGCATCAGCGTGAATAATAGTTCTTCATGACTAATAGCCTTCAAGACAACAGTGTTTGAGAGCCGTGCTTGGTTCTTTTTCAGCGTGATATTCTTTCATTTTCAACTTAGAAACCCACAGTTAATGCAGTAATTATCAGCAAGTTGTGTCACTTGGTGGAATGCAGTTTCCAAATGTTGTTTCTAAATATATGTGTATATATAAATACACATGTATATGTCAACCCTAGCACATCAACTTGAGTTTTAAGACCTGTGCCCGCAGAGAAGCAAAACAGGCAGGTGTGTGGTTAAGCAACTGTTGAACAGTGCAAATGTGAGGGTTACCAACACAACCAGTTGCACTATCAAACTGTTAGAACTTCCTAAAGGAAAATGTAGCCTTAGGAAGGGTGGGTAGTCAGGCTAGTGCTCATATACAACCCACACACAGCATCACTATGCTTGAGGATGATCTGTGTAGACTCCAGAATAGACATTAGAATACTTATCCCTTGGAGGTCTATTCCAAAATCAAATTAAAGGGAACAAGGCTGTTTCCTTATGTAGGGTTCCTTTGGTTCAATCCAAAAAGAAACTCTTAATAAGTAACAAATTATTAGTAATAAGTGAATCCAAAAAAATCCAACAAAATAGTTTGGCTCCCATACAGATTCCCTTTCCTACCTTTTCTTCTTGATCACTGTCGCTGTCACACTGAAACACAAAAAGAAAAAAAAAAAAACCAGGTTAGAGAAACGTGCTGCAGCAAAAAATGGAAGATTATTATTATCATCAGGACGGCCAACACATCGTAAGCCCCACAGTGTCACATTTGGTACCTTCAGGAAACACCTCAGTTCCTGTATGGTAGAGAATCTTTCCACACACCGTTGTTGAAGACCACAGTTTGCGGGTTTGAATTGTGAAAACAACGAAAGGCACTGCAATACCCCCTGTTAGCTTAACTCGGATACACGGGAGCTGATGGTGCGTGACCAAATTCAGGCCCTACAACTGGATCAGGGAAGAGGAAAAGCGGCAGAGACAGAAGCAGCGTTCCCTTCTGGCGGATGATGTTTCTCACACTGCTCCCCAGAAATTGGCTTCTTGGGTAGGACGGCATTGAGAGTGCTCAGCTTGGCCCTTTGCAGCAGAGAAGCACTTACAGGGCTGCCACTTCACTGCAGGATTACTTAGAGGATACACCCCATGTCGTTCCCTATAGGTGTCGCATTAAGGAGCTCAGGCAGATCCCAACAGAACCACGTGCCCAAGGAACTGATTCATTGAGGCGCTCAGTAAATCCAAAGGAGCCCAGGCAGCAAACGCAATGCTCTAAAAGGCTGAATAGTAACACTGGTGGGTCTTGCCCATGATCAATTGCCAATGCTTAATTTTTTGGCAAGCATTTCCAAGGAAAGCACAAGGTCAAAAAAACTGCAGATCTGGGCTTTCCCGCATCGAGGCCTAGCAGCCTGTGCTGTGTCCTTACAGCCCTTCGTACGCTTGCATCCTATCCAATGCATCTGTGAGTACTTTCATAAGGCAACCAAATTGCTCTGAAATTAGCAGCACGTTGTGAATTCCAAAGGTTAACTATGCAGCGGGACGTGAACAGACACAGCCTAGCACACCCACAATATACGTGTTGGATTTGTACAAAGCAAGCCTTCTTTATGTTCTTTAATTATAACTTTTCTCTTTCACTGGCTTTTTCCACCTCTTCATTGCTACAGAGGCAGAGAAGGTACCTTCTCCACACCAATTAACTACATCCTGACAAATAAAAGCTATAAGCTTAAATAGTTCTTTTTTTTTTTTTCCCCCACAAATGTTTTTCAACTAATTTAAAATGAAGCAAAAAATAGATAAAATCGCTATCTCCTTCCAGATCATTCCAAAAGAAATGGAAATGACATTTATTTAATAACTGAAATGACTTATACAGTACTAGTTGAATCTTAAACACTCTGGTAAGAAAAACATGAGATGGAGCATGAAGATACGTGACAGTTTTAGCTTAAAATCTGAAACCTTCATGCAGAGATCAAGTTTATGAAGGAGGGAGCACTTAGCTGACAAAAGGAGAACTGCACATTCCTGGTTATGGTTTTTAAGGACTTCATCATGACCACATTTATGAGATTCTGGTATGGAGGTAAGCACAGGCAAGTAAGCTTGCAAAGCAAAGGCTGACATTTACAGATAAGCAGAAATATGCACAGATTTTCATCCACAAAAATCGCAGCACATCACAAAGAATTCCCATTTACCACCTCTACTATACAGGGACTGACAAAATTCAGATCTTCACAGCATCACAGAATTGTCAAAGCCCTCTAAGATCACACAGTCCAACCATGCATCTACCTACCCCCTGACCACCTCCCTCAGTGCCACATCTCCATAGGCTCTGGAGAGCCTATGTAAGCTGTGTGCTCCATAGGTTAGGATGCATTATAAAGCACATCTCACGTGACATCTCATGTATTTTCAAACCAAAGAGCTCAGAACCGATTCCTCCATTTGCTCATGCCCTCTCCCCACCTCCCAGCCAACATCCAATACTAATCCAGATTGTAATACCTGAATGCAAAAGGACAAAGGTTCAATAGGGGTATATACACAAGGAAAAATGACTGTGTGCTCCCAGCAGGGTTCAGAGGGCTTTGCCATGCCGTGGGCTCCTGCCGCACACGTGCCTTGTGACACAACTGCTGTCACAGCGCTCTGCAGCCACTCCTTTCCCCACCATTTGTGTCAGGTCTAAGCAATCTCTCCTCTGCTGTGCACTAACCCTTTCCCGAATGGTGAGCTTGGAAAGAGCTCAGGGTTCTGTGTTCTCTGCAGCGTGGAGGTGCTTGGGCACAAGAACCCGTGCCAGAAGGGACGTCTGAATTTGCCAGCAACACAGCTACCTGCGTCCAAGCGGATGTGCAGAGAGCGGCGTCGCTGGGAAGTTATTTCCATCAAAGTGTTAAGCCTCCTGCTTTCTGACAGTCCAGTTCTAATTTCAAGGTCTGCTTAATTCCACATCAAATAATTACTGCTATACCCACAAGCACCTTGTCTCCAGAGTTAAGCATATGGCGAAGGACTGAGACCTACTGGTGTCCATTATGGAAGCAGCACGGATGCCAAGCCGATTAAAACCACTCGGGCTCCCTGTGCAACGCGCCCAGTGACTGACAGCTCCGCGATTTGGCCGGTCGCCGTGGCTGCCAAAAAAGCCTCTGCCGCACGGAAGCCCACATGGCGCTCTGCAAAAACCGTTCCACTCCTGCTATTAAATTCCCACACTGACCCGAGGACTTTGCTGGGAGCTCAGCAGGAGCGCTCCATCCAATTTACAGCTCCGTCCTCCAGAGCCCTCAGTGCCAGCCTCTGGCAGACACGAATGATGGTCAAACCCCTCCAGCTCATAAATTATGCAAAGGCAATAAATGCACTCAGCAAACAGCTCCCAACGTTTGCCTAGCCTGGCTCCAGCTACGCTCTGTGAAATGCCAGGAGCCCTGCACGCACAAGGCATCTATTTCACTCATAAAGAGGGTCTGTTGGGGCGTGAGGAGTGGGGACCTGCAGCCCCACAGCACTGCTCTAGCAGCAGAATTTTATGGACGCGCTGCACAAAAGGAAAAAAAAGGAGGGATGGGAGGAAAAGGCTTTTTTATGCACTGCAGTGGGGCCGTGTTTTCGTGTGGTGTATGCATACGTGTGTGCCCGTGTGCAGGCATTCATGTGGATGCTCTGCACACCCATGTAAGCCGAGCTTTCCCCATGGATTAAACACATGGATTTCCTCTGCTTCATGGAAAACAACCCAACAATTTATGTGCCAGGGTAAGTCCAAAAAGACCTGCAGAAAAGAAAAGGTCTGCTGCACAGGCTGGAAGCTGTGAATGAGAGAATTGTGCATTCCTCCCATGCTGGAGGCTGGTTTGCTGTGCGAGCATTCTGGGCTTCTCCCTTACACCCACATTTCCCACTGGTCCTTACCCTGATGTGCCCATTTGCACTCCTGGTTGCATTTCCTTCCCCAGGATGCTGAAGCACAAGGTGCTGCCATGCTGCTGCTAACCAATCCTAGGGAACAGGCCCGGCAAACCCAAGGTGACAAGTGTGACACTGATCATTCAGAACCACTGGACACCTCTGAGGAGTTGATCTGCACTGCTCGCTACCTCGACTGCTCCAGCATCCCTCTGCCTCACAGGGACACAGAAAAAATAAAATGATTTAAGTGTTTTGAGATTCTCAGAGCAGGAGCACACTGAAAAGCTATACAATGAAGCAGGAGAACCATGTTGTCTTCATCTTGATTTAGCTCACTACACAATCACAGAATTGTTTGAGTTGGAAGGGATCCTTAAAAGCCATCAATCCCAACTCCCTGCACTGCACAGGGACACCCACAGCTCCATCAGTGCTCAGAGCCCCCCCCAGCCCAACCTTGGGTGTCTGCAGGGATGGGGCATCACCATCTCTCTCTGTGCAACCTGTGCAGTGCCTCACCACCCCATAGTGTAAAAAATTTCTTTCTTATATCCAATTTAAATCTCCCCTCTTTTAGCCTGAAACCATTTCCCCTTGCCCAATCAATCCCTTACAGCTTAGCTACTTGGTTCTGTTACCTGCCACATTTCACTGTATTAATAATCAATTCACCTTTATTCTGTGAACAGTTCAGAAAAGTCTGGTATTTTAAGGATTTCAATACAGCAACATTTCCAGAAGGAAACTTCACCTAAAGATTTGCCATGACCGGACACAAAGGCAATGGTCGTGGAGAGCAAACTAAGCCTGACTGTGTGTCTGCTCACACCAGATGACAACTGAGATATCATTCATCTAATAATGGCAAATTAATGGAATATAGTGGACGAGTTTCTGCTCCATGATCCCGACGTTCAGAAGCAGTTCTGCTTTTCCAGCATTCTAAAATTCCTCCAAAGCTGTGCTTTCCAGTTTGAACAGGTGAGTCCGTTCAGTGAGCTCTGAAGATAACTCCCACATGCCAGGTCTGCTGCAGGTGGGAGATGCTCCCAAAAACAAGTCCCACTCAAATGTTATGCACCAGGCATTTAGAAATTAAGTGATGCAAATATCACATGCTGGCCTTCTACTCTGGGCTGAGTTTCAGTGTTTTCCGCCTCTCACAAAAAGATCAGCTTCCAGCCTTGTTCCAGGAAGCCACAGCTCTGTTGCACCTGAGTATTCTGCAAATAACTGGGAATCCAAAATATCACTTAGAGATGGCCTGATTATTGGATAACTGCCATTAGCTTCAATGCAATAAATCAGGGTGAGGAGTCTGCAGATGCTTTTACACCTGAACAAGCAGAGGCTCCTTCCCCTGATGCTCAGTGCGCACAGCTCTCTCACTGCACTGCCATTAGCAGAGATTGGTTGCAGACATGTAGGACTAGCTCTGCAAAAAGCCCAGGGTCCCATTTCCCAATGCTGGCCCACGTTAGTGAAAACCCAACCAAGCGCTCTCATCTAGGCACGGAGATGAAAGCCAGATGAGCAAAACTGCCGAGCACCCACAGCTCTGTGTTACGGCCAAGATTCCAAATAAGCGTGGCACAAAATGCTGTGAGAGCTTTCCAGAACACAGCTTGATGGGCCCCGCTGGGAAGGAGCCCCTGGAACGGGCAGTCCCTGCCTCTGCAATCCTGTATGAGGATTAACAGCACTACAAACCCACCCCA